TTATAGAAAACTAAGAATTTTCAATTTATAGGCTACAGGTGTACGAGGCTATCTGCATACTATTGTTTTTAGATTAAAGTTCTAACTTCCGCAATTTTTTGGTCACCCAAATAAAAAAGCAATTTATAACACAAGACTAATAGCAAAAGTTACATTACGTTCGGCGTTTTTATTTGTAATAAAGGACGAATAAGGCCATCAAGAACGAATAAATCGGGAAACAAACAAATGTTTAGGTCTATCGTTTAAATATAACACAGGAAAACCGTTATAACTTCCTGCACGATGCGTATACAGACTAGAAAGGTCATGTCATTTTTCAAAGGCTGAATTAAGTTAGCAAAATTTAACCTTCTTGAATCTGATTCTGACTTGCGAATATGTTGCCTAGAATGTTCTTGATGGCGCATCGGATGTGTCTAAACTTCCAGCAGTAAACCAGAGGAACGAGGGATGAACTCAAATATAACAGCGTCTGAGCGTAAATTAAGAAATGTTCTTTGAAATTCATCTTATTCATCTGTCCGACCAGGATCACAATAACAAATGGCAGGCCAAAAACAACAGATAGACATACAGTTTAGCCTTGCTAAATCTGATTCTGACTTGCGAATATGTCGCGCAGAATATTCTTGATAGCGCATCGGATGTGTCTAAACTTCCAGCAGTAAACCAGAGGAACGAGGGATGAACTCAAATATAACAGCGTCCGCGCGTAAATCAACAAATGTTTTATCTTATTCTTCTGTCGTTCGGTCAGGATCACAATAGTCATTGGCAAATAACAGGCCAAAATCAACAGATATACATAAAATGTACCAACTGCTGTTTTTCTCAGTCTTTCGAAATTTGAGTGACTTTCTTCGTTTTGTGCCACTGCTTGGGCTGGCTGTGCATTAACTCGAACGTTGTGGCGACGTACAACTGTGGAAATGTTGAAATAGATTAGAGCCATAGTAAGGAGACAAACAAAGCCCACAGTCATCCCTACAAGGTCACTAACATTTTTGCTGCTCAAAACATCGGTTAGGGCTAGGAAAGCACTGAGAATCCAGCTTAAGATTACTGCAGCTACAACACGCTTGTAAGTCACAATTTCTTGGTAGGTGAGAAGTTCCTGGTGTTTGAGGTGAAGGTGGATAGCCACGAATCTGTCAACGCTGATAGCTGTGACACCAAAGAATGAAGCATAATCAAGGGTGCGTCCTATGAGACGCAGAGCTCTATCTATGTCTTTAGAAGTTGCCTTGTCGTCAGTTTGTTGTATTTGCATAAGCATGTGAGCGATGTGCAAAGGCTGGGCAACTAATCCAATACCAAGATCAGAAACAGTCAAGCTATGGATCAATACTTTTAGAGTCTTTGGCAGTGATGAAGACCTTCGAAGGGCGAATATTAAGGCAATGTTCAACATGATTGTTGTGTAACATAAGAAGAAATTGACTACTACGTTTATGATGAGGCAGGGATAGAAATCTCCTGCCTCCTTCATCGTGTATTATAACTGCCTTTTTTCCAAGGGAACGGGAGCGGAGTCAGGAACGCATGCTTTCTTGAATGAGTTTACTTTCAAAACGGGAGTCCAGATGGCCTTGAAAGATGCAACAAGGAACTGCTTAAGTATAAAAAAATAATAATAATTAAAAAGCAAAACAAACAAATAGACAAACGTCCTAAAGATCACGTGATGTATAACCTTATTGCTGATGTTTTGAAACATGTTGCAAACAGGGGTAAATTTGGACGTTTACTGAATTTGAAAACCTCTGAACTTCCAAGCAATTATATCAAAAGTCCATTTCCAATAAACATCCGTCGTTTAAAGATGGTGTACATCATGCTGTATTTTTTTCACATTTTGTTTATTCGAATGGTGTCCGTTAGCACAAAGTAAAGGTTACAGTCCTTCCTAGAAGCCTCAGAAAAAGGAGTAAACGAAAAGATTAGTTTAAATTTGTATTCTCCATCAGTCTTGCTTGAAGTCTACGTTTATTATAGAGGAAGAAAATTAATGCTCATCTTAAAAACGGGAAACAAAATGATAGATCACCATACTCGTTTCAAAGAAAATGAAGATTAAGTCCTTAGGGAGCTCCAGCTTTTAGACAAAAGGCGCCATGTTTTAATGTGCGCGGTCTAATCATGCATGTAATTATGTGCAGTAAGGATCGATGTGCAATGCAATAATAAGAAAGCGTTGTAAGTCTCGTGATCCAGACTAATGAAGGACGAGTGAATCAAGTGATGCGAAGGCAGATAGCAAAAATTCAGCTTTTGTGCAAATACTTGAAACTTGCTTTATTATCCTTGAAAAAGAAAAAAAAAAGGTTAATCCAGAGCAAAAATAAAACTAATTCAACAGATGCCTCTAACCTGTAATATTTAGTTACGCCCTTCTCCTCCACGCCTGTTTTTTGCCAGGTTATCTTATTATGAAACAGCAAATAATTCACAGGGCTTCTAGTGGGTTACTGTATTGTTTGTGTAAATGCGTTATTTGTGGTATTCAACAATTTGATGTAATAAGCTCTTAAAGACGCGGTATGTCATATCTCGCTACAATAACTTGTGTGCTGTCAAAGTTCAATTTGTTATTAACTTTTCTCTGACATTAACTTTTATCTTATTGATATTAACTTTTCTCTGTTATACTACTACATGAGAAATTTCTGCAATTTGATTGGCTTAGAGCGGTGGTATTACAGCTTAATTTGAAATACCTACATGTGAAAATTACAAACCTTTTGTGGGTAGTAGTATAAACAAATATTAGCATGATTTGTACGTGATATTTGGCATAAATACCACTCGTGATATTTCAAAATTGTCTCAAATTTCACTCGCCTAACGGCTCGTGAAATTATGTATAACAATTTCGAAATATCACTCGTGGTATTTATGCCAAAAATCACTGCAAATCATGCTATTACCTATACAAATTGCTCGTCCTTCTGCTTGTCAAAGATAGAACACCTCCGTTTTTAACCCATCAAGAGTGATCAGCATCACATTTCTCCTTGCAATATTGGTGACAAGAAGTAAGGGTATGATAAAAAAAGATATGATGTGCTGATACTTCAACAACTGCTCCCCACTACTTCAGGGAAAACGCGGCACGAAATGAGAATTTAAATTTTGATATTAGGGGCTTTTTTGCCGTTAATAGGAAATGGAGGAAGTAGCAAATGATTAATTTGCAAATGTAGCTACATGTAGTCGTAAATTGCATGCGGTGCGGTGAATTTGGAGTAAAACTTTCGATTAACATTCACCTGAAGTTAATCCATGAGGCTACGTTAACTGTTCTCATTAAAATGTTTTATACAACCATTGTACGTCTTCAAGCCGATGACTGAATGATTTTGTAATTGCCCGCGTTATGATAAAAAATTAAGTCTCTTGTCAGCGCCAAATCATGATGTGAAATAACTGCTACCAAAACAATATTTTGGCGTCTGACATATAATTGTTACTTTGAATTATCACTTTGAATAATCAACAATTAAGGCTGAACAGTCCTAAAGGAAGGTTTTCTAGCCTGCCGGCCCAATATTTGTTATTATGTCAGAGTACAGCATATATAACTGAAAGGCAGTCGCGCCCTATAGATGGGAAACTCAACCGAAGATAGAAAAGCTATCTCCCCCGAGGCATTTAATCTGGCGACAGTGACTATAACCCTTTTAAAATAGTCTTCTTTCCATTACGGCATGTCTGGGGAACACTCTGATCCTGATTGCTCTTCGCAAGGTAACTTCTCTTCATTCACCAACGAAACTGTTGTTTCAATGCCTGGCGATCACTTGGCGTTGGTCTCATTTCGCAGCCACTCTATGTCATCTACGTCGTTCTGATAAACTACAACCCTAAGCTTTGGAATATCATCTCTATTCTCCACGATATAACTTGGGGGTTATCAATTTGTCTTTCTGGAGTTTCCGTACTCACAACGACTGCGCTAAGTGTGGACAGACTTCTCGCCCTTTTGTTGAAACTAAGGTACAGGCACGTTGTAACACTGAAGCAAGCTCGTGCAGTTGTTTTCTGCTTTTGGTTAAGTCCTGTTTCGGGCATTTTCATGTTCTTGGTCTGGGATACAAACATCGCCTTGGCAGCAATTTCAGTCTCGGTAATGCTTTGTATCGCTACCTCACTTCTTTCTTACACAATCATATTTATCAAGTTGCGTCTACATCAAGCTACTGTGTACCTTCATGCAATGCAATGTTCACCATGCCGGGCAACCAATCGGAGGGGGAATTCCGGCGTTGAACATAGCAAAGTTTAAAAAAACCGTTACCAGCATAGCTTTGGTGCAGTCGGCGTTAGTTGTATGCTATATTCCGTTTGTTATTTTAAATGCGATATTTCTGTTAAATAGCGTTCTTGCCAACAGTGAGGTTTTCTACATGGCCGCCAATCTTGTATATTCCGAACTCTCGTCTACTTAAACTCATCTCTTAACCCGTTCCTGTACTGTTGGAGGATCAAAGAAGTGAGGCAAGCCGTAAAGGCCACAATCAAACAGTTGTATTGTAATTGTTTACGCTGAGTTCCATACCTCGGCGACCGATTTATGGAGAAACAGTCTGATTGTAAAATCGCTTTTCAATCGAACGAGTATATTTTAAAAGGACTTACTAGGGATACTAGCAGATAACATGGTACACAATAACGGTTGCCCCAACGGTTTTGGGGCGATGAAACAAAAAATATATATTTATTCATGACTGAACTTCCAGGTGATTCCTATTGTTTCATTTCCCCAAGCCTAAGGGTGACGTGTGAATTATTGCAGTGGTCTGGCCAACGACTTCGTTCCCAGAGTCCTTAAACTTGACTTCCTCCGTCGAGCAAGAACAAGGTTGATTGAGTATTCCTAAGCTCATTAATAATTCATGAAAAGAAAACAAAAACAGGAAATCACTACCGTAACGAAGGTTGGAAAAAATTAATTACCTCAAAATTTTGCGAACTTTTATTGCCTTGAATTTCTTCAAGAATTATTGTTCATTGACAAGCTGTATCAAACACAACATTTAGTGTTTTATCTAATATCCAGACGCCTTTAAGTCGCTCCTTTCTTGAAGGATGTTCGGCTCAGCATGGTCCCTAGCTGAGAATTTAGGACATGATCACACAGAATGTATTTTCTTGATATTTTATCAACTTCTCCTCACTACTTCTATAGTAAATGAATAGGGGCGACGAAGGAGAATTTTAATTTTGATCCTAGGATTTAAAGTAAAGGTCAAGGATGATATGACGCTGAACGCTCTTCATGATCTTTCCTGCATTAGTTAAAACTAATACTTACATAACAAATCGTGCATCATTCTTTCCTAATTTAAGATTAATATTTTCGTGAGGTTTATTAATCGATTCGCCAGAAAATTCTACCTTAAGTCAGACTGTTATACATGTATGTCATTCAAAAATCATAATCATATAATAGAAAACTAAGAATTTCCAATTTATAGGTTACAGGTATACGAGGTTATCTGCATACTATTGGTTTTAGATTAAAGTTCTAACTTCCGCAAATTTTTTATTTGTCACCCAAATAAAACTGCAATTTATAATACAAGACTAATAGCAAAAGTTACAGTACGTTTGGCGTTTTTATTTGTAATAAAGGACGAATAAGGTCTTCAAGAACGAATAAATCGGGAAACAAACAAAAAGTTTAGGTCTATCGTTTAAATATGACAAAGGAAAACTGTTATAACTTCCTGAACGATGAGTGCACAGACTAGAAAGGTCATGTCATTTTTCAAAGGCTGAATCAAGTTAGTAAATTTAACCTTCTTGAATCTGATTCTGACTTGCGAATATGTCATTCAGAATGTTCTTGATAGCGCATCGGATGTGTCTAAACTTCCAGCAGTAAACCAGAGGAAGGAGGGATGAACTCAAATATAGCAGCGTGTTACTGTACATTAACATATGTTCCCACACCTTATTTCTCCGTGTCTCCAAGATCTCAATAGCGATTGCCAAATGGCAGGCCAAAAACAACAGATAGACGTAAAAGGTACCAACTGCTGTTTTTCTCAGTCTTTCAAAATTTGATCGGTTTTCTTCGTTCGGTGTCACTGCTTGGGCTGGCTGTGCATGAACTTGAACTGTATGGCGACGTACGACTATGTAAATCTTGAAATATATTAGACCCATGGTAAGGAGACAAACCAATCCCACAGTCACCGCTGCAAGGTTACAAACATATCTACCGCTCAAAACACCGGTTAGGGCTAGGAAAGCACTGAGAAGCCAGCTTAAGATCACTGCTGCTACAACACGCTTGTAAGTCACAAATTCTTCTTGGTAGGTGAGAAGTTCCTGGTGTTTGAGGTGAAGGTGGATAGCAAGGAATCTGTCAACGCTGATAGCTGTGACACCGAAGAATGAAGCATAACCAAGGGTGCGTCCTATGGGGCGCAGAGCTCTATCTATATCTTTAGAAGTTTCCTGGTCGTCAGTTTGTTGTATTTG